TGGAGAAACCCATCAAAAATGATTCCCCATAAGGAAGCCATGGTAAAACCCATCAAAAATGATTCCCCTGCAAGGAAGCCATGGTGGACTCATATGCACCTTTCAAAACCTCAAAAAAAAAAAAAAAAAAAAAAAAAATTGCAAAAAAGGGCCCCTCCTCAAAGAAGCCCTCCCTGCCCTCCTCCAGGTAGGCACTTACTCCTCAGTCTCATTTTTGATCCCTAGCCACTCGTTGATTTTCTTTTGCCGAGCACCTTTTTGAGTAAGCCACCTGAGGGGGGAAAGGAAAGTTGGGCTCGGGTTCCTTCTGCTGATGTTGAAACTGAGGCGGCAGCAAGGCAGGTGCAAGCCATTGGTGGTCTGTCAGGTTCGGCAGAGACAGGGGCTGACCTCGGAGGGCAGGTTTTGGGTGCAATATCCCTGGGGGCCACATGGGGGCAGCCTCCCCTTGGTTAAGGGCAGCTGAACTCTGGTAGGCTCTCCGGGCCACTTCAGAGCCACAGTTGGGGTGGGGTGGGGTTGGAGTCATGTATTCTTTCAGTGAGCCTGTCCAAAACATGCTGGACCAGCTGTTAGTTTTGCACCTCAGTTTCCCTGGATATAAAGGGGGAACTGGCAAGGGTATAAAGAACACAAAAAGCAACTAATAGGTACTCGGCATACAACAGGGGCACGTAAGTGTTTCAGTCTTGGGAGGGGTAGAGGGGAAGGCTCCTTGCTTTTACCCACAGTGGGTCAGTGGACAGGGGCAGGATTTGAACCCAGGCTGGAGCTGCTGCAGCCTTAGTCAGAAGCTAGAGCTAACCCATAGGGAACCCTTCCCAAGGGGCTCAGCAGGGGGACAGGGGGTCTGAGTTCCAAAAGCAGGGGCTCATGCACAGAAGAGGAGTCTTTGGGGCTGAGCAGGGCCCTTGGAAAAGAAAGCAAGAGCAGGAGGCTTTCAAAGGTAAGAGGCACCCTGTGTTAACGAGGGGTGTGCAGGTGAGCGTGGGCACTCACACAAGGTACTGGTCTCGGATCTTGCGCAGCTGCATGAGGTCGGGCTTGAGGCTGTTCATCCGCTTGTCAATCTCCCGGTTGTCCGAGGCCTGCACCCGCAGTTCCTGTTCCAGCTTCGTGCGGCTCTCATGGATCTCAGCGATGCGGGACTTAAGGCGCTCTGAATTCAGCAGGATCCTGTGGGAGGGTGGCTCAGAGGCCTCTGATGGCTCCCAGGGCGGCTCCCTCAAGGATCCGCTTTGTACCGAACTATTTGCTTTCAGCCTCGTAACCTTTGCCCATGTGTTTTCCTGTGATTCTCTTTCTGGCAAACTCTAGCTATTCATCCTTCACAACCCATTTCAAGTGCCCAGCCTGGCAGGCAGAGGTCTGGCTGCCTCCGTTTCTATCCTTTCTCCCTGTGCACAGCACCAGACAATGATGAGGAGGAGGACAGGAGGGCCAGACTCACCTCTGCATCTCCTTCTCGTTACCCTCACGCCGGAACCGCTCCAGATACTCCTTACTGCATTTCTCCTGAGTCTGACCCTGCTCCTCGAAAATCTTGATGGTCTCATTGAAGGCCTCGATGGCTGTGCGCTTCATCTGCAGCTCCTAGGGGAGAGGCTGGGTCTCAGTGTCTCCTTGGACTTCCCCAGGAAGAGTAAAAGCAGATCCCAACTCCGCCACGGAAACTTTGCTCAGGTTGTGCCCTCTGGCTTTCCTACATGGAATATACTGCTCTTCGGCCTTCAAAATCCTGTTCCCCAAACTCCTCCTCCGCAACACTCGCCTTTGGACACCCAGCAATCTTTGGACCTGCAGCGCCACTGAGAATGAACAATACGTTGACTGCTTTCTATGCATCTTCTCATAGACTCTTCCAATAGGCCACCACAAGGGTGAAACTATTAACAGGGAAACAGGTTCAGAGGGCCTAGGTCACGTACAAGGCCGTAACATTCATAACTAACCTGGTTAGGCACCTCGTCTGCTCAGAGCCTCCACTGACCCATCAGTAAAAAGGGGACAAAAAGAGATCTTTGTGGGTTGCAGTGGGGACTGAGCAATTCTCAGTCCAAGATGGGGCATTCGATCTGAGGCTGGTGCATCTTGATTTCCAAGAAAGTTTACAAATGTGATGAAACCTGAGCCTATTTTAAAACACACTGCTTCTTAGTCCACAATGACTATGTTCTACATACATCCTATTTCAGTGAATGGCGATTGGCAAACTGTTTCTGTTAAGATTAAAGCCAAGAAAACAGTGTAGAGGTGCAACTCTGAAGTCTCTCCCTGTCTGCAGGGAAGAAGAGTGATAAAAACTGAAGCTGCTTGGAAACAGCTGTCTCCAAGACCCTGAGACCAGATGCTGCCCAGTTACCATTACCAACTACTCTGAAAGAGATCACATTAGAAGGTCCTGGACAGAATGGGGGAAAATGTGGAACAAAACTCAAACTCACGAAAAAGACCAGACATACTGGTCCGAGAGAAGTTGGTGGAAGCCCCCAGGCCTTTGGTCACCCTTCAGCTCTGGAACTGAACTTACTCCCATGACTCAAATTTCAGCCAAGCAACAGGTAGGTTGACTAGGGAGGTATGCACACCACAGAATGGTCAACCATTCAAGAGCAAAAGGGCACATTTTATGGCAAGGAGGGGAGTGATTAACTTTTCAGTCTAGGAGCGGAGGTTCCTGGGACCATGAAGGGCGAAGAGTGGAGAACAGGACCCTACCCAGAGAAGCAGTGATCCCTGAGATGGAGGCAGAGATGATGACGTGAAGAGATGGAGCAGCTGGGGACTTTAGACACAGAGAGGGAGAGGGACTGTGTGCTGACAACGGCAGGGGGGGTGGGGGGACAGGATTGTAGGATGTGCCCTTTGGTTGGGTGATGATGCATGGAGGGGATTGTAACCATGGCAATGAAACAAAATACAATAGGATGAATGTAAAACTAATGTTCTCCCATGTAAACTATCACATAATTCACAATAAAACATTAAAAGAAAAAAAAAAGAGCAAAAGGACAGCATATTTACCCAAGGACAAAGTTCAAAAGAGCAGGGAAAGGAGGAGGAATAGGAACAAGAAACATGAGGAGGAAGTGGGATGAATGATGTTACACTGAAGGGGTTACAATCATTCATTTGGATCGAAGTTTAGCATTTGTTGAATGTAAACCTGATGATCTACTCTATAAACCTTCACTCCATTCACATTAAAAAGTTAAAAGAAACAGAAAACAATACAGAGCTATTCTACTCTACGAATGGGGTCTCTGTGAGTTGGCGCTGAGCCAATGGCTGTGGGTTTGGGGCCCAGAGACACCCTGACTCTGCCGGGCCCAGTAAGCAACTTCTGTGACCTCGGTGGGTCCTCTCCCTGGTACCACCTGCACCATGTATGTTTATGGCTAGGCTTTGAGAGCAGGTTCTGTGACCTGGAGGGGGATGCTTATCCCCTTGACTTCAGAGGCTGGCTGTCTTGCTCCACGCCCAGGCCTCCATCTCCCCCGCTAGGTACCTGAGAGGTTCGTGTGTACTCCTCGTAGAGTAGGTCATACTCGCGGCTCTTGTCCTGGTACTGCTGGTGGTAGACCTTGAGCTGGGCACCCACTGCGTCCACGTTGTCTTCCTTGACAATCTGGTCCTGGGGACACTCGGAGGGGTCAGAGAGAGACCCAGGCCTGAGCTCGGATCAGGCACCCCCTTCCTCAGCAACCACCCCTGGTCCGTACCTGCTGGTACTTGGACACGGGGTATAGTAGCCTTGTGTCCAGCTTGGCATTGTACTGGGCCAGCGACTCGTGGCGGTAGTGGGTGATGAGATCCACCACAGAGCAGAAGGTGAGTGGCTCTGAAAAGCCATAGTGACCGTCGCGGTGAAACACCTTGATCAGTTTATTGTTGCCGCCTTTTCTAAGGGGGGAGGTCGAGGAGAGACATCATTGCCCACTGGGACCCCAAAGATGACGTCTCACCATTGTTGTATCTAAGGAGCATTTAAGGCTGACTCCCAGGTGCCCATCCAGACCCTGACCTCGTCCCCAGGTCTCTTGGTTGTTGACACTACACATTCCACACCCTACAGAGTCTTCCTGACTTGGTGACCTCCCTCCCGAGGCTGTGTCTGAAGGAATAAGCCCCCACCTGAGGGTCAGTGTGTACTCCCCCTGGATCTTGCTTGATGCATCTCGAACCAGGAAGGTACCATCAGGCGTGTCTCGCAGTTTTTCATTCACCTCCTCCCTGCCAAGGAGACACAAGATAGGAGTCACCCACCTGAGACCCTGCACCTTTAGGCCCTGCTCACTATGGGATTCCCCCACCACAAAGGCTTGCCCTTGGAGGCTGTGACCCTGCCTACAGCTCTCCTACCTGGAGATGTCGCCCCAGTACCACTCAGCATCCTGCAGGGAGGGTTGGCTCCCCCCATTGGCCAGGCCCCCAGGGGCCGGCTTTGCCTTGGCAGGTTTAGGCGGCAGTGCTGGGAGACAGGAAAACAAATGCACATTGAACACCAACTGTATACTGCAACCACCGTCACCAAGGCTACTGTAGGCTGGTGGTAGGGTTTACACCCTCCCCCAGTAAGAGACAACATCAACAAGAGAATGGGGGCACACCTGGGGGCACGACCTCTTGCTCCTCCAGATGTTCCTGAAGCAACTTCTCCACCAACTTCAGGAAGTCAGGGCTGGGGCTAGGCTCAATCCTGCAGGGAGGGAGTGCAGTAAGTGCTGGACAGTGCGTGTCTGTACCCGGGTCTGTATGAGCTTGAATGCCCGGGGAAGGCACATGTGAGAGTATGGGCAAGGAAAAGAATATATGTTGCTGGCAGCAGTTGGGCATTGCGTGCAACTCTTGCGTATGTGTGTTTGTTGTGGTGTTTAGGTGCACAGTGACCCTAATGAACAAGAGAACTTAACACTGCCTAGTCTGACATCATCTTCCCAATTGTTATGTTTGAGTCCCGTTAATTGCTACTACTGTTATCAATCCATCTCATCTGGGTTGTGTTTGTGTGTGTGTGTGTGTGTGTGTGTGCTCTTCCTCTTTTTTATTGACCCTCCACTTCATCAAGCATGATGGCCTTCTCCAGAGACTGTCCCTCCTGATAATACGTCCAAAGATGAAGTTGTGTCTATCTAAGGGGCATCTGGCTGCACTTTTTCCAAGACAAGACTTGTTTGTTCTTCTGTTAGTTCATAGTACTTTCCATCTTCTTCACCAACACCATAACTCAAATACATTATTCTTCTACAGTCTTCCTTACTCACTGTCCAACTTTCATATGCGTATGAAGCAACTGAAAATATGGCTTGGGTCAGGCACACCATAGTTCTCAAACTGGCAGCTTTACTTGTTAACACCTCAAAGAGCTCTTTTGCAGCAGATTTGTTGTCTAATGTAACACATCTTCTAATTTCTTGACTGGTGCTTCCACGAGTGTTGATGGTGGACACAAGTAAAATGAAGTCTTTGACAACCTCAATATTTTCTCCATTTATCACGATGTTATTTATTAGTTCACTGTGCGAATCTTTGTTTTCTTTACATTGAGGTGCAATCCATACTAGAGTCTTTGATTTTCATACAGAAGTATTTCAAAAGTAGTTTTGGCTTCCAGCAAGAAAAGGTTGTGTCATCTATATATCATACGTGGTTAACGAGTCTTCCTTCAATCCTGATGCCATGTTCTTCAGATAGTCCAGGTTCTTGGATTATATTTGTTCAGCATACAGAGCGAATAAGTATGGTAAAAGCATACCACTACTGGTAGCATAGTGGTTACGAATCGGGCTGCGAACCGCAAGGTCAGCAGTTTGAAACTACCAGCCGTTCCACGGGAGAAAGATGAGGCGTTCTGCTCCCATAAAGACTTACAGCCTCGGAAACCCTGTACAGGGTCGCTATGAGTTGGAACCGACTCCATGGCACATCACAACAACAAACCCTGGCCCACACCTTTCCTGATTTTCAACTATTCAGTATCTCCTTGTTCTGTTTCAATGACTACCTCTTGGTCTATGTACAGGTTCCGCATGAGCTCAATGAAGTGTTCTGGAAATCCTATTCTTCGCAATGTTATCTATAGTTTGTTACGATCCACATGGTTGAATGCCTTTGTATAGTCAATAAAGCACAAGTAAACATCTTTCTGACATTCTTTGCTTTTAGCTAAGAGTCCTCTGATGTCAGTGATGATATCCCTAATTGTTTATGTAGTAGGTGCTCAATAAATTCTCATACAATAAAAAAAAGAGTAAGAATTCAATGCCTGGGATGGGGCCAGTGAAAGTGAGGGTGCTGTTGGTTGGGAGAGACTCTGAGTGGAGCAACTAGGGGGCCCTGAGTCAAGGGTAAGGAACTCTGGTGACACAGCTGGTTAAGCATTGGACTGCCAACAGCATGGTTCGTGGTTCAAACCCACCAGCAATTCTGAAGGGGAAAGATGAGGTTGTCTGCTCCCATAAAGATTTCGTTTCGGAAACCTTAAGAAGCAATTCTACTCTGTCCTACTAGGATACCTATGAGCCGGAATGATTATGGTAGTGAGTGGGGGCTGAGGGTGAGAAGCCCTACCCACGTTCTTCTTTCTGGTCTAGGACTCTTACACACTCCCTTTTATTTTTACCACCCATTGACGGGGGCCATCCATGCCCCCTTTCTTATAGTCTAGGCCCCTCCCCTCTAAAGTGGAACCACACCCCACTCTCCCAAGGCAGGCACTGTGGCTCACCCATCAGGTCCACCCCCTTGTGGTGGTGAAGGTGGTGGCGTGCGCAGCAACAGAGGTCCGAAGATAGCGGCCAGAGCTCGGATGGCTGGGCCTGGGGCTGCGGCTCGCCGGGCCACACGGCCCAAGTGCTGGAGCAGAAAGCGCAGCGTGAGCGCATGATGCAGCGGCAGGGCCGGTGGCTCCAGTGCTGGCCCCACAGGTCCCACACCCTCTGTGGAAAGAAAGCCAATGCACTGCGGTTAGCTGCTCCCGCCCAGAAGGTTTGGCCCCTTCCCCAGGTGTCCTCACAGGCTCACCTCGTAGGGTCCGCAAGGCTTCAGCCACCGTCTCTGGTGTCACAAGGGGTGTTGGGAGTGCCAGCAAGAAGCTTTTGACGCCATCAGAGAGGGTTACCGAGTCCCACTGTTCCACGTCACTTAGAGACCAGTCTGTGAGGGCAGGGGGCACAAGTCCTGATGTTCCTGGATCTCTGCCTGGCCATCTAAAGTCTGTCCTCCCGCAACCTTGCCTGTGGATGTCCCCCCTCACCTGTGCGTGGGGCAGGTAGTTCCGGCCTGTAGAGGGAGTCGCTGTCCAGCCCTGGTGGTGAGGGTATGGATGACAGAAGGTCAGCTCCACCAAAGATGAAAGAACAGCTCTCAAATCCAGCCCGACCCCCATGGGGCCTGCTGTGATACTTAGCCCCCTCTTCCAGTCTCACTTCTAAGAACTTAGAACAAGGAGAGGGGAGGGAGTCTCTGACAGAGCACTAGGTAGGGGGTTCACATTCCTTTCTCCCTGGGGGGGCACTTATCTCCCTACTCAATACAGGGGCCCAGAGCACACAGGCTCAGCCTCAGGAAGGGAATCTTTCAACAGTCAGCCTGGTAGCCCTGAGGGGATGAAATGCCCATCACCAGAGGTATGCAAGCAGAATCTAAGGGCTGGTCCATGGCCTGAGGCTCACCTGTCCGCTCCAGAGCCTCCACAAGCTTCACCAGAATCGGGGGCGCCACCTCAGTAGGGGAGAACTGCTCTGGCAGGTCAGGGAGTGTGACGCCTGGAGGAAGGGAGGAAGGGATGGAGAGAGGGGATGACAGGTTGATGAGGTAGCTGCAGGCCCCAGCACTTTTCCCTGAGGGACCTTTTGGCTTGAGTGGCTTCAGGCAGTGTATGTAAACACCTTTTCCTAAGGATCTGTCTCCATTTTGTAAGTTCTCTTTCTAAGCCACTGAACTCACTCCTAGTCGTCAGGCAGGCCGGAGCCCAGCCCCCACCAGGCCTTCCTTTCCCTGCTCTGGAGCCTCAGCCTCCATCTTCTTCACTTGATCTGGCTTTGGCCCTGGGCGGGACGCTGTGGCATGCAGCAGGGACAAGCTGGGGCCTGCTGGGCCTCCTGACTGATGGGCCAGGTGGCGCCTCAAACTGGAGAAAGGCCCAGCTGTGTAGAAAATGCCAAAAAAAAAAAAGGGAAAAAACAAGGCGAAGAGAGTAGGTGAAGCCCTGACTGGGGGTTGGGTGGGGAGAGTTTTGACAACTCAACCCTAAAACTCGTCTTTGGCCAGTTTGCAAACTGGTAAGGAGATCCCCACAGAACAGGCATCACCCCCATTTTACAGATGACAAACTGAGGCTCTGAATGGGACAACCTGTCTGTTGTTACACAGCCCAGGTAACACTGGAATTCGGCCTCAGCTCCTTACATGGGGTCCAATGATGGAAATGCTTGTTTCTAGATTCAGGACCAGCCCTGTGGTTTCCAGATGAGGAGACTGAGGCCTGAAGTGGGCAGATCTGGCTGAGGTCACATGGCCTTGGAAGGCTCTGAGGGCAGGCTGGGCAGCTGCCCTGTGTAGGGCTGTATGCAGCGGCTGGACAAAGGCCAGGCCAGGGAGGGAGGCGGCTGTTACCAGGGACAGAGGCAGATTCTGGCTGGGAGCCCAGATGGGGCCTCATGTTGCTCAGGCCAAGGCGGGCTACAGGCCCCGGCCCTGGAGACACCAGATGCAGAGCCGCCTTGGAGCCCCTTGCTCTGCCTGGAGCTGGGGGGGCTCTGGCCAGATCCTCTCTGGGCACCACAGGCCCTCTTGTACAAAACCAAGCAGATCTGGTGCTCCCCAATGCTGGGGATGCCCTCATACCTCCATCTCCCCTCTGTGCAAGGGGCCTCACAGCGCTGTCAGAAGGTTGGGTCAGACCAGGTTGGGCCTACATACTCGCTTGGCACACATCCTCAGTTTCCTCATCTGGGACCCAGACCCCCTTCCTGGCACATAGCTGTATCATCATATGCTCAGAGTCTGACGCTCTGTTCTCAACAGCAACTCTGTGGAGGCAGAGAGGGCTGAGCGGCTTTGAGAAGGGACACAGTGGCTATCTGGCCTCAGTTAAGTGTCCTACCCTAAACTTTGCAGTGCCCCTAGATTTTGGAAACCAGAGTAACAAAGAGGGGTCCTTTGACAGTCTGGAGCTGCAAGATGGAAATGGAGCCTCGGTGTCCTACTGAACAGTCCTGATACTTGCAGTGAATTCCAAGCTCTTCCCCGAACCTGAGGTTCAGCGGCTGCGGCCTCTACTTCCTCATTCCATTCTAGCACATGAAGCCTCCTACCAGCTGGTCCTAGAACCTGACAGTCTATCCCAATTCATAGCCTTCATCTCCTTGCTACTCTGGAACATTCTACCTCCAGCTCTCTCCACACATGGCTCTTTACTCATGGCATGTGTTGCCCCCTAACCAAATTCTTGCTATTTCTTTAACCACAAAGGCAGGGCCAGGCCTATGTCCACTGTTGGTCCCCAGCACCCTGAACCTGGCCCAGTCCTTGAAAGCCATGCAATCGAAGCTTGCAAGCTGACAGAATGACCGACATTCTTATTTCTTCTTGCCCACAAAAGGCCACATTGCCCCGCTAACTGAGGGTCTGAGGGGGAGACCCCCGGCCAGGACCCTGCCACCATGTGACCACTCACCTGGTTCAGGAGGCCCATCTCGGGGCCGGGCAGGCAGTGGACGGGGGCCACGTGGACGGGGGCCAGGCCGGGCCAGGGTCACAGGCCCCAGGAACTCGACGTAGGTCCCAGGGAAGTCACCGCGCTGTCGTGTGCGCTCATTGACACCGGGCATCCAGCCCACGGTCTGTGGGCAGCGCTCGCCACCCTCAGCCACACCCAGTGCCTGCAGGGCTGCCCGGCTCACCACCAACACATCCCCGGGCAGAAGCTCTAGGTCCTCGGGCCGCTCCCGGCGGAATGGGTACAAAGCACGGTACTGGAAGCCCTCAACGCTGGCCATGGCCAAGAAGGGGTGGCGTCCAGGCAGTTAATCAGCTGCTGGGGGCCTTATTGGCCCCATTGGCTGGGTTAGGGGCTGGGAGAGTCCGCTGGGCTGGCTAAGGCACTCAGACCCCTGTGTCCACCATGAAGGTGGTACAGTGGAATGAAATCAGGTGAGGCCAGGTAAGGACAGGGGGCTCACGCCTCCCTTTCCACCACTGTGCCACGACCCTGACCAGGGTCCCTCATCTCTGTGTCCACCATCAGTCTATAGGTGGGAGAGGTCTGCAGTGTGTTTCAGGTCACTCAGCCACTGACACCCCCATCAGCTGGAGGGATCAGGTCAGGCCACTCACTCCTTCATGTGGGGGGCCATCTGCACCCAAGGTTGGTGGCTCTTCCAAGGGAGCCAAGGACACAGGGGGTTACCATGCTCGGCTGGGGATGCGGACCTGGGGGGAGAAAGGCAGGGAGGGCAAAGTCAGCTGGGCTTGGACCCCTCATCTCAGAGACAGGCCCAAATCCTGGGGTCAACTCTCCAGGCTCAGTGACAACCCTTAGTTTCCTCACCTGTAAAGTGGTTGTTAATAGCAGTCCCACTAGCGTCTTTGAGAATAGAGCCTTTGGAACCCACCACGAATGAAACATACACACAATCAACTACAAGCACCTCATTGCCCTTATTAGAACTTGGGAAACTGAGGCTCAAAACACAGAGGTTCAGGGACAAGAAGAAACTAACATTCAAACCCAAATCTACCCAACTTTATGGCCAACGACAGAAGGGAAGAAGGGTCAGTCACATAGCCAGAAAGTTATAACCAGAGTAGGGAGGACTAGGGGCTGCTCAGGGAGCCCCAAACAATGTAGCAGGGGAGCAGAGTGCAGGAGAAGAAGGTCCCAGCAGGGTCCCTCATAAGCAAACGCCTGGAGGTGAGTCCATACTGGTGGAGGAGTGAGCTAAAGGGGTCTTGGCATGGCTCAGCACAGGGGGTTCCCAGTAGGTTGCTCAAAATGAGTAAGGGTGGGGTCAGCAGCCAGTGGGGACTGCAGACCCAGGACAGATGGCAGAAATACACTATGGCTGCCAGGGGCTAGGGGTGGGGGTGAGAATGAACTGCCAAATGAGGGAGATGATTATCCTTGGATCCCCCAGTCTTGGGGAGACAAAGCAGAACACAGGTCATCCTGTAGGATCAGAGAGAGGGGGCTGGGAACGCCCAGGTGGGGGCAGGGTCCTTAATGAAGCTGGGAGGGTGCACCTGGCAGAGGAAATGTTCAGGTAAAGGCCGGGTAGAGAGAAGCTGCTTGTTAAGTCCAGGGGGGTTGGTAAGAAAGCAACAAGCGCGCCCATGCAGGGCCTAGAGTACCAAATACTCGCAGCCACCAGGAGTCCCGAGAGGTGTCCCCTAGTACCCAACTTACCTAGTCTCTGAGCTCTGTCACCTTCATTCCACAGGTAGTGAAACTGAGGCCCAGAGAGGGGTCATCGAGGAAAGGGCCTGTAGCCTGGGACAGCCCAGGGCTGCTTGTCCTCACGCCCGGTGTGCACACGTTTGCACACGTTTGCACACGCCTCACTGTGCGCGCTCCGAATCCAAGGGGCGGGGAAGGGGGGCGGGGCAAGAGGCCTGCCTAAGACGCGGGGTCGATGCGGGCTCTCACGACTGTGCAGTCAAGCACTCTGGATTGCGTGGACCGGAAGTGGGGTCGACCACCGATCCCCCACTCCCCATTATGCTCCAGACAATACCTGGAATCCCCCACCACTGGAAGGGACATCTTCCATTAGGGGCTGCAGCTCCTCATCTTCACCTAGGGACCACCATTCCGTCCCACCATTCCGCACAGGCTGCACCGCCGCTGAGTCAAACCGAGGCCTGTGCCCCAGGCAGCTCCCTCTCCCAGCAGTCCCCCAATTTCACTGGGGCCTGATCCAGCCCAGCGCTCCAACCTGATCTCCACCAAGCCCCCGCCACTCTATGTGCCTAGTATTCAAGCGCACTCCCACTCCTGCCTGCACATCGGTAGGTCACACTCACCTGTCGGGCCGCCTCCACCGCCGTAGCCGTCACGCTGAGCTGACCGGGCTCCGTGGCTTCACCGCAGCCACGGTCGCCGCAGTCGCGGGATCCCCGCCTCCGCCGAAGCCACGGTTCCAGCGACGGGTCCCGCCCCCAGCGGAAATGGCCAAGCTCATTCGGGTCGAGCGGGTGAGCCCAGCTAGAGACCGGGGATCCCCGAGTGCTTCCGGAAATAGTCGAACATACTCCCCCATGAGAGTTGAGCATTTCCGGAAATAGCCGAACGCATCGAGTCTATCGAAAGACTCGAGGCTGGGTTGAGCTGTGCTTGAAGACACCTGAGAGATACCGGAAAGAGCCGAACGTATTCCCGCGGGATTGGGGGGAATAGAGGGACAGCCTAACATTTCCGGAAATAGCCACAGAGGTATGGAGTCCTCCTAGCGTTGTGGTTACGAGTCGGGCTGCGAACCACAAGGTCAGCAGTTCGAAACTACCAGCTGGTCTGCGGGAGACAGATGAGGTTTTCTGCTCCCGAAAAGATTTGCAGCCTCGGAAAACCCTGTATAGGGTTACGATGAGTCGGAACTGACTCCACAACCCTGTATAAGGTCACGATGAGTCGGAATTGGCTCTTGGCTCCACGGCAAACAACAACATGGAGTCCTGGTGTGGTGCTGTAGGATAAGCACTGGACTGCTAACTACAGATCGGTGGTTCAAATCTACTACCTGCACCTCGGAAACCCTATACAGGGTTTCTATGAGTTGGAGTAATTATCAATACATCTTGATTACATGTTTAATCAATTTTAGACTGAACAAATTGGTAGAATTCTTCAATTTCATCCCAACCAGCTTTAGTGGTTGCTATGTAAATTTGAATAATGGTATTAACTGGTCTGCCTTGTAGACTATGGATATCATCCTATCACTGACCGCATTATACTATAAAAAGATCTTGAAATATTCTTTTTGATGATAAATGTAACTCTTACCAAAGTAAGTATGATTTTCAAATTCAAAATGGCCAATACTCATCCATTTCATTTTTGACAACTTTCTATTTTCCTAAATCATAATTTGTACATTCCATGTTCCGATTTTTAATGGATATTTACAACAATTACTCATTTTGAGTTGTGTCCTATCAGCAAATGAAGGTGCCGAAAGAATTATTCCATTTGTGTCATCATAGTCAACTCTACTTGGAGGAGACAGCTCTTCCCCAATCATATTTTGAGTGCCTTCCAATCTGAGAGACTCATCTTCCTGTACTATATCTAACAACATTCTGGTGCTATTCATATGTTTCAATAATCAATATTCTGGTGCTGACAGTGTTCCACTACTATTCACAAGGTTTTTAAGTGGCTAAACATTCAGAAATAGCTGCCTCTCCTTTGTCTTAGTCTTACTCTGGAATCTTAGCTGAAACCTGTTCACCATGGATGAGGCTGTTGGTATTTAAAATACCAGTGGCATAGCTTCCAGCCTCACAGCAACATGCAAGCCACCACAGTACGACCAACTGATGGATGAGTGGTGGTTGGAAACAAAGAGGAAGGATCAGTGGTTGGAAAATATGACCTTGGTGATAGAAACAATGTTGGAGATCGCATGATAGAATTTTACAAGACCAATGACTCCTTCACTGCAAATATCTTTTTAAATAACACAAAAGATTACTATATACATGGACCTCACCAGATGGAATACACAGAAATCAAATTGACTGCATCTATGAGGAGAGATCATCTGAAGAACAGATTTGATACATTAAACACTAAAGACCGAAGACCAGATGAGTTGTGGGATGACATCAAGAACATGAAGAACATCATACATGAAGAAAGCAAAAAGTCATTAAGAAGACAAGAAAGAAGGAAAAGGTCAAAATGGATGTCAGAAGAGACACTGAAACTTAC